TAAGCTCACTGTCTCAGTCCTGGTAAATTTCTCCACTAGGGGATCCATGATAACAAATATTTTACCTCTGAAGATAAACTCACTGTCACAATCCTGGTAAATCTCTCCGCTAGAGGAATGCATGATAACAAATATTTTACCTTTGAAGATAAACTCACTGTCTCAGACCTGATAAAAGTCTCCATGATAACAAATATTTTACCTCTGAAGATAAGCTCACTGTCTCAGTCCTGGTAAAACTCCGCTAGAGGAATGCATGATGACAAATATTTTACCTCTGAAGATAAACTCACTGTCTCAGACCTGATAAATTTATCTGCTAGGGGGATCCATGATAACAAATATTTTACCTCTGAAATAAGCTCACTGTTTCAGACCTGATAAATTTCTCCGCTAGGGGATCCATGATAACAAATATTTTACCTCTGAAGATAAGCTCACTGTCTCAGTCCTGTAAGCTCACTGTCTCAGTCCTGGTAAATTTCTCCACTAGGGGATCCATGATAACAAATATTTTACCTCTGAAGATAAACTCACTGTCACAATCCTGGTAAATCTCTCCGCTAGAGGAATGCATGATAACAAATATTTTACCTTTGAAGATAAACTCACTGTCTCAGACCTGATAAAAGTCTCCATGATAACAAATATTTTACCTCTGAAGATAAGATCCATGATAACAAATATTTTACCTCTGAAGATAAGCTCACTGTCTCAGGCCTGCCTGGTAAGTCTATCCGCTAAAGGGCTGCATGGTAAAAAATGCTCTGCCTCTGATAATAAGACCATTGGCTTTTTCATGGTAAGTTTATCCGCTAGAGGGCTGCATAATAACAAATGTTCTGCCTCGAAGTACTGAAAATGAAATCACACCTTAAGTCTTTCTAAGTCTGCCCACAAAAGGGGTGGACGTGAAAAAAATATTTTCTCAATAATATAGGTACTGATAGTAAGATAACTGTCTCAGGTCTGGTTAGTGTACGTGTTCACCGCTAGAGGGCTCATGATCATACATATTATATCCATAAATAATGAAAACACCATATTTTAAGACCTGTTAAGTATTCTTCTCTCTTCTTCTCTTCAATTATAGGAATATAAGCGTTCTGTGACGTTTATGAATTATTTGAATGCCCAAACTCAATTCTGTATTTTCGTTAAGTGTCGAGAAAACCCAACATCAGATGATTCCAGTTTCTATGTAGAGAATATGCACTTTCCTAGTGAAATAAGTGTCTTATTTAACACTTTCTTAGTGTAATAAGTGTGTCTTATTTAACACTTTCTTAGTGTAATAAGTGTGTCTTATTTAACACTTTCTTAGTGTAATAAGTGTGTCTTATTTAACACTTTCTTAGTGTAATAAGTGTGTCTTATTTAACACTTTCCCAGTGAAATAAGTGTGTCTTATTTAACACTTTCTTAGTGAAATAACACTTATTTCACTAGGAAAGTGTTAAATAAGACACACTTATTTCACTAGGAAAGTGTTAAATAAGACACACTTATTTCACTAGGAAAGTGTTAAATAAGACACACTTATTTCACTAGCAAAGTGTTAAATAAGACACTCTTATTTAACACTTTCCTAGTGAAATAAGTGTGTCTTATTTAACACTTTCCTAGTGAAATAAGTGTGTCTTATTTAACACTTTCCTAGTGAAATAAGTGTCTTATTTAACACTTTCCTAGTGAAATAAGTGTGTCTTATTTAACACTTTCCTAGTGTAATAAGTGTGTCTTATTTGACTATTACTCATCCAGATACCCGCTGAATACGAGGCCCAGTATAATCAAGCCAGAAGAGGGAGCTACAGTCGATTTCACGGGTATGCTTATGACGGTATTTGGGCGATAGCACTGGCTATAGAGAAGGTTCGAGAGATGCTTATTTCCGAAGAAAGTTCCAGAAGCTTAGAAATCTTCGAATACAAAGATCCCACGTGGGCCAGGTTGTTTCGTGAAGCCTTTAACAAGACATCTCTTCTAGGGGTCACGGTAATTATAATAGATCATTTTTGTTTTATATTAAAACAACCAGTTTTATATGGAAATATTAATCCATTATATCACTCTTATCTCTAACATCCAAAAATAATTATTACATATTACTACAGATTTAAAATGGATGATATTTTAATGTAACGATTACCTTTAACTGTAATCAACCATCTCAGAAGTAATAGTTGTAAAATGTTGGATTTATCTTGAAAAATTTTACTAAAACATTCAGGCTGTTGTTTTGTAAGTTTCAATCACATCATCAACTATTATTTACTTAACACAGTATATTATACAATAATTATTAAACATATATATTACACAGGAAAGGAACAAATTTATGTTATTCGAAAAGAGGAAATTTCACAATATTTTTCAATTCTTGAATCCAATTTTTCTAAGTATTTCTAATTCGCCATTTTGTTAGGCCTACATCAATCTATTAATGAAATTACGTAATAATTTCTCTTTAATTGTTTTAACATACGAAATATGTTGATTTTAATGTATCTTGCATCAATAACTGTATATAATATTCTCCTTAAATAATGATGAAATTATATTCCTCAATTAATTTGGAATTATTACAGTTTTTATGAGAGCATAAATACCAGTAATCATACGATTCACAAGTTCTTCCCAAAATTGTTGAACATACTTAAAAATCATGTCTAATAAAAGTTCATGTGCAATACACCTAAAATACATGTGTCAGTTGTTACCTATCGTAGTATTACAATACCGTAACATTTTGTCTTCAAGGTTATATGTTAGCTAACTCCACGTTAAGAAGTTATTTTTAAAAATACGTTCTTTTTTATCGTATTCTCATAGTATTACTACTTCATTTCTATACACCTGATAAACCCTTAGTATTTGTATAATACTAGTGAAAGTACCCGGATTCGTTAGGATTATTAAGTTGATTTATTCTAGATGTATTGTGTCAGTGTGTATTCTGAACCCATTTTAACATAAAAGTATAACCTATATACTTTTGTTGCTCCTTTACGAGATGTGGCCTGTTTATAAAGGTAACCTTCTCTCTGACTTGTCCTTCTAAAATAGAAAACAACATTTTTTTTTTCCAATTTTGTAGTTTATACATTTCATTTTATACTTTCAGCATATATCCATTTTAACAACAATATTAGGTTATACTTTTATTGCTTAGCAACATGAAATAAAAGCCATTGTTGGAACGAATTGTTACCAAAACATACTGGCTTTTCTACATATTAGAAGTTGTTATATAAGGAGCCACTTCTTTTCTATGTGGTTTTTCGCTAAATTGCTTCATTAAGAAGATGCGCACGCATGTGGATAAGATAAGTAATAGTACCCAGGTGCAGACCCTCAGGGTCCACTTAGTATATGCGCAAACTTTGAGGTTTCTATGTTTTTTCCTCATGGAGCTATGGCGGACACACACACAGGGACCCACATACACTCCGTTATATTATATATATATATATATATATATATACATAATGCTAGTTATCTCCATAACACAAATTAGCTACTAGTGAGTTCAAAATTATTTTTATTCACTCTGTTTTCTTCTTTTTGTAGTATATGTCGCTTCTAATTAACCCATAAACCTGTTTGTACTTTATTAATCGAGATGTTACTATAATCTATTTGCTGTTGTTTTTATATGAGCTACAGATAGGGCAGACGTCATCCCACACTCCCTTAGTTGCCCTGGTGGTTGTATGACGTGTCTAATTTGTTAATTTAAGTTTATTCATATGGGTAATTTTGTATTTTAAAATTTTCATCCAAAAATAGTTTTATACTAGGTATATGAAATGCATGTTGAAAACCACCCAAAAAAGTATGTACAAAAATGTTTGTAGGTATAAAAAAAATATTATGTTTGTTAAATTATATAATATAGAAAATATTTTATATACAGTGCATGAGCACGTATGATTACATAGGGATATTACGTATGTAGGTCTGGTGGTTCAGACGCTCGACTCGCAATCTGAGGGTCGAGGGTTCGAATCCCTGTCACCAAACATTCTCGCCCTTTCTGTCGTTGAGGACGTTATAATGTGACGGTCAATCCCACTATTCATTGGTAGAAGGGTAGTCCAAGAGTTGGCGGTGGGTGGTGTTGAGTAGTTGCCTTCCCTCTAGTCTTTCACTGCTAAATTAGGGACGGCTAGCGCAGATAGCTCTCGTGTAGCTTTGCGCGAAATTCAAAACAAACCAATTATGTATATATATATATATCATGTTGTGTGTTTGTTTTATATGTATATATAAGTTAAAAAGACATTAATATATCATGGCAATGTGTGCATTTTTACAGGCATAGCTCTAGATATTGTTTTACATTTCAACTTGTTTTTTACGTTTCAAGGTTTCGTAAGTTTACTTTCATTTTTTTAACGTTTCAGAAACTTCATAATATTGCTGTTTTTATTTGTTTATTTATTTTTGTTTTTTCAGAGACCCGTTAGTTTACTTTCATTTTTTTTAACGTTTCAGAAACTCCATAAATTTGCTGTTTTTGTTTTCTTTTTTCAGAGACCCGTTAGTTTACTTTCATTTTTTTTAACGTTTCAGAAACTCAATAAATTTACTGTTTTTTGTTTTCTTTTTTCAGAGACCCGTAAGTTTACTTTCATTTTTTAACGTTTCAGAAACTCCATAATTTTACTGTTTTGTGTTTTGTTTTTTCAGAGACTCATAAGTTTACTTTCATTTTTTTAACGTTTCAGAAACTCCATAAGAAATTTACTGTTTTTTGTTTTGTTTTTTCAGAGACCCGTAAGTTTACTTTCATTTTTTTAACGTTTCAGAAACTCCATAATTTTACTGTTTTTTGTTTTGTTTTTCAGGGACCCTTAAGTTTACTTTCATTTTTTAACATTTCAGAAACTCCGTAAATTTACTGTTTTTTTTCAGGGACCCGTCAGTTTCACTAGAAATGAGCGACGAGGACTAGTTCTTCTGAAACAGTTTCAGGGTAAGTGATTCTTATTCATCAGTTACTGGATGTTGAATTATTAAACTCAGATTTTTTTTCCCCCGAGGAAGAATCAAACTCTTAGCTACAAACATCGGTTGCTTCCTATCATTGTATATTATTTATCCAGTTTTTTTATTTTTTTTCATTTACATGCTAACAAGTAAATAGTAAATTTTCACCCATACAAAAAGTTTTAAAAGCTGTCATATTTTAATATCCACACACCATATTCTAAAAATAGTAAAAGCCTTCCATAGATTTGTTTTTTTACTAAACATCTCATGATACGAGTGTTCTAAAGTCGTAGTTCTATAAATTTAAGGACCGCCACTTTTTATGAAACAATATTCTGTTTGCTTTTTATTACTCGTTTCCATGGGTACAGCAAAATGTTTTGACGCTGTTGAAAAGAAATTGTATGAATATTACTAATTAGTAAACACCTGTTGCGTGAAAGTGTATTTTTATTTTTTATTTGGCCTCACGTGAAATGTATCTATCCGATGTACTTTATTTGTTACATTTATTTGAGGCGGAACTGAAGTAAAGATTGGTGAATATGATTCTATTGGGGACACACTGGACTTAAGTAAAGGACAAGCCATCACATGGAGAGGTAAGAAACATCTATATATCTATACAAGTCTATCTATCTCAAAATAATTCATGGATTTAAAAAGTATTTATTTTTTATATAAACCGTTTTATTTATCTAAAAATATTCAATCTAGATATATATCTAAAGACTTTACTAGCTAAAACACATATCTATATGTCTGTCTGTTTATGAGCAGATATGGTTATTAAATATGTTTGTTTGAGCACTTCTCACATTTTGCACACCCTCCAAAAAAAAAAAGGTAACTCCTTGTTTAAATTAAAAATTCTTGGCACTCTTCCAAGAAACTCTAAATAAAGTTTTTTCTTGTGAAGGTGTATGTTTTAAAGTTTTCCAAGAAACACTAAGGAAAGCTTTTTCTCGTGAAGGTGTATGTTTTAAAGTCTTCCAAGAAACACTAAGGAAAGCTTTTTATCGTGAAGGTGTATGTCTTAAAGGTGCCTACTGAGATCATCTACCATCTCTATATGACATCCTTAAAATGGTTCCTTCTTTTACAAAGTCAGAACATTTACCTGCCTAAGGAACGCGTAAACATTATCCTACTTACTCAGAACAACATATTACTCGCTTGATTGTATTCGAACTCTTGTTGAACGCGTTTAAACAATACATTTTCTTAATTAAACTAGAGTACCCGTATATTATACAGGGTAGTCAAAAATTATCTTTTCTATATTAAAATTTAATAATTAAATAACTAATGAAATACAACCATGCAGTTTTCAACACGTTGTAGTCCAACTGAAATATGGCCAGGTGGTTAGGGCGCTCGACTCGCAATCTGAGGGTCACGGGTTCGAATCCCCGTCACACCAAACATGCTCGCTCTTTCAGCGTGGGGGCGTTATAATGTGACGGTCATTCCCACTTTTTGTTGGTAAAAGAGAAGCCTAAGAGTTGGCCCTCTAGTCTTACACTGCTAAATTAGGGACGGTTAGCGCAGATAGCTCTCGTGTAGCTTTGCGCGATATTCAAAACAAACAAACGAAGCAGTTTTTATTGTCATGTTGTTGTTTTTTCAATCCAGTGAATAGTGTTATCCCGTAAAATGGCAACCGTACAAGAAAAGGCTAAACGCGTCGTTTGGCTGTGGTGCAGCGTAATTACAGACGCCAGTACAAGAAAAAGGTATGGGGGGTATGTTAAGGATATCGTAACTGTGGACATGTTGCAGCGAACGTGGACTGAAATCAAATATTGGTTAGACGTGCTGAAAACCATTAATGGTGCACACGTAAAAGTCTACAGACAGGTCAATAAAAACTGTTTGGGTTGGGCTACAAGATGTTGAAAGCTATATGTTTGTATGTATTTATTTAGTTAGTTAATTATTAAATTTTAAAATATGAAAAATAATTTTGGATCAACCTGTATTATTACCTATTTAGTATTTCTGAACTCTTCTAAAATATCATATTTTTTCTTACCAAATCAACAAAAGAAACAGTAAGGTTATTCGGTACAGTTTGTATATATATTGTAGGACAGCAATATTCTATGAAAAATTAGAATAATTAACTGTAAAGTACCATTATAATTGGTTTCAGTAACAACTTTACTAATATGTTGTTTTTAGGAGGTACTGACCACCATCATATAGTGTAAAGTACCATTATGACTGTCTTCAGTAACAACTTTACTAATATGTTGTTTTTTTTAGGAGGTACTGACCACCATCATATAGTGTAAAGTACCATTATGACTGTCTTCAGTAACAACTTTACTAATATGTTGTTTTTAGGAGGTACTGACCACCATCACATAGTGTAAAGTACCATTATGACGGTCTTCAGTAACAACTTTACTAATATGTTGTTTTTAGGAGGTACTGACCAGCATCATATAGTGTAAAGTACCATTATGACGGTCTTCAGTAACAGCTTTACTAATATGTTGCTTTTAGGAGGTACTGACCAGCATCATATAGTGTAAAGTACCATCATGGTGGTCTTCAGTAACAACTTTACTAATATGTTGTTTTTAGGAGGTACTGACCAGCATCATATAGTGTAAAGTACCATCATGGTGGTCTTCAGTAACAACTTTACTAATA